TTTTTTCACACTCTCTCTATCTCTCTCGCCCTCCCCTACTCACGCTCTTGCTCTTATCTCTTTCTCCTCCTTCTCCTTTTTTTCACACTCTCTCTATCTCTCTCGCCCTCCCCTACTCACGCTCTTGCTCTTATCTCTTTCTCCTCCTTCTCCTTTTTTTCACACTCTCTCTATCTCTCTCGCCCTCCCCTACTCACGCTCTTGCTCTTATCTCTTTCTCCTCCTTCTCCTTTTTTTCACACTCTCTCTATCTCTCTCTCTCTCTCTCTCTCTCTCTCTCTCTCTCTCTCTCTCTCTCTCTCTGTCAAGAGAGCAAATCTACATTAGACGGAAGATATAGGAAGGCATTCTAAGATGTAACAAAGCAAATGGCAGAATATAGCAAAGTTTATTCGGAAATAAAACTCCAGGAAAAATTTTACGAATTGTTTTCCAACCGGAGAAATATAAAACTGTGTCATGTACATCTTTTAACGCCCGAAAGAGGGCAGCACGCGTGACAAGCATGGAAGCCGCCAGAGTTACAGAAGTGTTTTGTGGGTTCCAAAAGTACATCGACAGCGAACAGGACAAAAGAGATGAGGTTAGGCAGTTGGTGAAGGATTTGGAGCAATCGGCCAGAGAAATCTTGGCGGTCATGCAGATAATTCACACCGATGAGGGCCTCAAAACTATATCAAAAGTCTGTGAAAAGGTAAGTCAGAATATTACAATGTCATTTCTAATGAATGGCTAATGCTAGTAATAGTAAAAGTAATACTACTACTAATACTGCCAATGGGGACGTAAAAGAACCACTGAGGGCGCAAAGGAACTCTGGCTGTGACGACCCTCAGTGCCATTTGGCTAAAGGCTGACTACCTGGCTTTACCCAAGCTAGGTCACACCTCATAGCTAGCTCTAGTAGTAGTAGTAGTACTATAGGCATAGCCCGCTTACATTAACTGCCGCTGGCGGCGGCCGCTGCCGCTGGCAGCGGCAGTTAATGTAAGCGGGCTATAGTACTAGAGCTACCTCATGGCTAGCTATAGCCCTTGTCATTATATCCAGTGTAGTGGACACCGACAAGTATGAGAACATAACATAACATAACTAATACTAGTAATAGTAATACATTACTGTACATTACATTAAAATTACTATTAATAACTATTGGGCGTAGTGTAGTACATTGTGCATACTACGCCACTTTATGACCCAACCAACACAGATTTCTGCAGAAGTGACGAGACTTTAATCATGTTATAGTAAAATACAAAGGAACGTAAATTGAGTAACATAAGTGACAGGACTTTAACCTTGTAATACATAGTAAAGGAAAGCAAAGTAAGTAACAGCTTAATAATAGTTATCGCATCAACACAATCGCTCATCTAACGGCCAACCAACAAAGTCCCTTCGCGACCACCGGCTTTTCTAACGGACGACAGTTTTTAAAATCGCAGTGGCTGGAGGTACGGCAGCCGTCGTTCGTTGAAGCCCCTTTTTGTCGTTAGGGTCAGGTTAGGGTTAGGGTTCTAGCTCATCTAAACTCTCAAATCGTGAATTTATTTCCCAGGGCGTTATTTCGAAATCTGGCGCCACCCGCCGCCATCTTTGTCTCGTTAAGTATGAAAGCGAATGGACTGCCGTACCTCCAGCCTCGAGACATTAAGATACGGCTGCCGTACCCGTAGCCACAGCCTTTTAAAATTTGGAACCGTATTCCTTCAACGACGACCGTTTATCCTCGGGGAACGCCAACTCACGCCGGCACGACCTCTCTCTTTTTCGCAGGCGAGACACCACTTCGAGACGGTGCGCGCGCAGTTTGCAGTGCTGGCGGCGTGCGTGCCGCCGTCCGAATACTTCCGCTTCAACGACCACTGGCGCTTCGTCGTCCAGCGGCTCTCCTTTCTCGCAGCTCTCATCGTTTACATGGAATCGGAGATGCTGATAACGAAGGAGGAAGCTGCAGCCATTCTGGGTACGTGGGAATATTGTCTCCTCCTCTTCCACAGGCAGCCAAAGCCCGTGTGCGTGATACAATATTATTAATAATGACAATATAACAACAACAATAACAACAAGGACACTGGAGGTGCTGATAACGAAGGAACAAGCTGCAGTTATCCGGGGTACGTGGGTACGGCCGCGGCGGCTTCCGAGATGGAGGGGCTTGTTGTTGCTGTTGTTGTTTGTTTGTTTTTATTCACTCCTGATACAATATTCAATTAATGACGACAACAACAACAACAACAACAACGAGTCTCAGCGTAATGTAACGATGACGTCTCCTCCTCCTCCTTCAATTCATGTAACTCTCTCTTCCTCCCCGCAGGCATCAAGAGTTCGCACGAGGCTGGCCTCCACCTTGACCTCCTCCTCCTCCTCCTCCCCTCTCCCCTCCTCAACATTAGTAACTATAACATCTCCTCCTCCTCCTAACGTCTTCCTCTCTGCAGGCATCAAGAGCTGACATTGATCTTTGACGTTGAGGTCACCATCTCGACCTTGACGACTATCTCACGTCGACCCTCACTCATGCCAGCGAGCTCTCGCGTCTCCTCCTCCTCCTCTCTCTCCTCCTTCAATTCATGTACCGCTCTGTCTTCCTCCCTGCAGGCATCAAGAGTTTGCGCGAGGCAGGGTTTCCACCTTGACCTCCGCCAGGTCCTCCTATCCTCCCCTCTCCCCGTCCCCATCCTCCTACCCTCCCCTCTCCTCCTCCTCCTCCTCCTCCTCCTCCTCCTCCTCCTCCTCCTCAACAAGAAAATATAACATCTCTTAACGTCTTCCTCTCTGCCGCAGGCATCAAGAGTTCGCGCGAGGCAGGTTTCCACCTCGACCTTGACGACTACCTCACGTCGACCTTGACGCTGGCCAGCGAGCTCTCCCGTCTCGCCGTGAACGCTGTCGTCGCCGGCGACTACTCACGGCCTGTCCGCGTCGCCTCGTTTGTCGGCGACCTCGCCAACGGCTTCCGTCTGCTCAACCTGAAGAACGACTCGCTGCGGAAGCGGTGCGACGCGCTAAAGTACGACGTCAAGAAAGTCGAGGAGGTCGTGTACGACCTGAGCATCCGCGGCCTGCGCCCCGCCGACGCGTAGTTACCACGGTTACCGCCTCCTCACGGCCTCCGCGGATTGAGGCGACACTAAAGTTGCCACATTCGTGGGTTTAGGCGTAGCGTTATTGTTAGCGTGGTTATCACGTCCTCGCAGCATCCGTGGATCGACGCGGGGTATCGCCACGGTTGCCGCATCCTCAGTTGTTGCTGCATCTTCCAGGCATCTGCCGATGCAGAGTCGCCATGGTTACCGCATCCTTCCGGTATCTACCGATGCGTAATTGCTGTAGCTTATCAGCATCTGCCGACACGCAGTCGTCATGGTTACCGCATCCTTCCAGCATCTACCGATGCTTAGTTGCTGTATATTCCAAGCATCTGCCGACATGTAGTCGCCATGCTTACCGCATCCTCCCGGCATCCGTCGACACGTAGTTACCATGGTTACCGCATCTTGCCGGCATCTGCCGACGCGTAGTTACCTTTACTTCTCAGGAGCTGTCGCGTGAACACCGGCTTTCCTGAGCTAGTCGTCGAAACGGTCAGAGAGCATTCCTATTTTTGCCGCCACATTTCGGTTTCGTTAGTTTCACAAACGTTGCGGGATTGAAACAAATGTTTTCAGTCCACGAGCGAGAACGAGTGGGACGTATGCATGTGGTCTGTGATGCACTCATTCCTGCAGCCACACTTTCATGTTGTCTTTTTTTAGGTTGTTAGATTTTCATATGGACAAGAGGAGTGCTATTATTGGGAAAATAGTGAATTATAGATGGCGAAAACATTTCGCTGCAAGTGTAATATTGTTTAAATCCGTTATTGTGTAATAGTTAGTGATTTTGGGTGCAGAGGTTTCACGAAGAATAATTAAGCTCTGAGCATTTTCTTTATTCATTAAAATCAGAGCTTTTGTACACTAGCTCGGAGGTTTAGAGTAGTGATATCACTTTCGCAACACACACGCAAATGCCATTTGTGTTTATACTCGAGCTGCCAATTTTAATTTTGCAAAATGCGTGGAATGCTCATGCTGTGGGGGTCGTGTAAAGATGTCTACTGACACCACGTATCGACAAAATAATGGTGTATACTGAAAGTTGTTCTTTACTTATTGTATGTTGTGATTCTTCATTTATCGTTGTATTATTCAACACATAGCGATCACAGTAATATCAGAAGTGAATTATGAAATAAACGTGATTACCGAATTTTTTTGCAACAATCTACTTGGATTTATTCTATAGCACTGGTAGAAGTTTGTCGATTGGTATACATGTATATCAACACGGCCACATAAACTATGAAGTGAATTATGACATCATTGACTTACTCCTGATATTTATTCTACTAGTGTATTCATGACGATATCACGAACTATATGTAAGGTACTTATGTGTGGGCATATCATGTTTGTAGCAAAATCATGTTCTGTATTCGTGTACATACAAGAAAGGATGGACACTTCTGTGTCACCTTACGGACACCTTGAAAGAGTGAAGGCAACATCTTTGTGTGTTCATGCAAAAACTATCTATACAACATTTCTATTTCTGAAAATAAACGTGATTACCAAATTTTTTGGCAACAATCTACTTGGATTTATTCTATAGCAAGTTTGTCGATTGGTATACATGTATATCAACACGGCCACATAAACTATACAAATTAGCTTTGTTTTTGTGTAAATAGTTTATGCTCTTGATAACAAAAAATTCTCTCCTCCCTCTCTCTCTCTATAAATTTATCTCTGCCTCTCTCTCTCTCTCGCGTTACCTTTCTCTCCCTGTCTGTCTCTTTCTCTCTCTCTCTCTCTCTCTCTCTTTCCCTCTCTCTCTCTCCCCCCTCTCTCTCTCTGCCTGTCTCTCCCTGCTCTCTCTCTGTCTGTCTCTTCCCCTCTGTCTCTCTCTCCCTCTCTCTCTTATCTCTCCCCCCGTCTCTCTCTCTCTCTCTCTCGTTACCTTTCTCTCCCAGGCTCGTTGTCACTTCCCCTCCCGATCGTCCGTCCGACTTGACGATTCCCGGGGACTTCCGCCGCGGCGCCGTCGACTCTTCTCGGCCAATCACGCGTGCGGGATGCGGTTGCCGTAGCAACGCCGCCGCTCCGGCGCAGCGCTGCGAGGCGTGCAGGGACCACGCGCAGCGAAGAGCGGTGGCAGCCTGTAGTCGTAGCATGGTGAAACGTGAGGTATCTCGCTCGCGCGCGCGTGGCGGTGAAAGAGCGAGATGCCGTCAAGAGGCGGTCCTGCAATAGGGAAGTCGATGGCATGTTTGTCGCAACCGTTCATTCTATTGCTGAGATAGGAATGTAGATAATAGGTCGAAGATAAATAGACCTATAGATCGAAGCATCAGAAGGTGGAATGTACGTGTAGTAATAGCAGTAGTAGTATAGAACTTACTTATTAGTAAGGCTCATAGGGTCTATGTCCCCCAAGGTACTGCCGGAACGTACCCTAGCTGGTAACTATTTAATATGGTTAGGATTAGGGTTAGGGAGTACGCGTAGGCGACTCCCTATACTCGTTAGTGGAGTAGGCGAGGTACGGTCCGGCATATTAGATAGTACCAGGGTACATTCCGGCAGAGCTCTAGTACTATAGCCCGCGTACAGTGACTGCCGCAGGCAGCGGCAGGCAGCGACAGGCCGCGGCAGTCACTGTACGCGGGCTATAGTACTAGAGCTAGTTCCGGCAGTACCCTGGGGGACATAGACCCTCTCAGCATTAGTAAGTTTAAAGTTAGTCTTAAAACTTAAAACTGGTATGAGAAGTAAACTAATCTGATACGTCACTCTTTGCGAATCATTCAGTGAGCAACCCTAAAATCAAAAACGTGTTTTTATCACGCATTCTAATCACTCAACACTGATTTAGCCGGCTCGTGAACGGGTTAAAACAGAACTTTGGTTCTCAATCTCGCCATGCTCTCTATCCTTCCGAACTTTTGCTTTGACCATGAAAATACGGCCCACTGTACTGACTAACACTACAGCCGTTGTCTCTAATTTACATGCATAGATAACCTTATAATTCCCACAGCATTTACCTATATGGGCCCGAATCGCCAAATCAGTTGACGCACTATAGCATGCTAAAGATATAAAATTACTGAAAACAACAAAATCGTATTTTTACTAACTTAGTTGGAAGACTTACCGGCGTAAGGGGTACGCCGCTAGCGCCATCTCTTGGTAGGCATGAACATAATTACAGAAATTATTTCGACGTGCCCCAAGCCCTAAAGAGGGCGCCACGGTGTTTCATTTATACTGCGACTGGGTTCGGTATATGGTCATAGAACTAGTAACAGATGTTTGAACGGTTGTTAACTTTCTTTCCGTATTTACCTATCTAACCACCCATCCACCCATCCATTCGTCCATCCATCCATTCATCCATCCATCCATCCATCCAACCATCCATCCATCCATCCATTCATCCATCCGTCCACCCATCAATCAATCAATCAATACATCCATCCATCCATCCATTCATCCATCCATCCGTCCAGCCATCAATCAATCAATCAATACATCAATACATCCATCCATCCATCCATCCATCCATCCATCTATCCATCCATTCATCCATCCATCTATCCATCCAACCACTCTCCATCCATCAATCCATCAATCAATCAATCAATCAATCAATCAATCAATCGTTCCATCCATCCATCCATCAATC